TTGGATTTTTGGACATCGATTAAAACGGCCCTTTTAGCAAGACCGTAACCCGGTGTCTAAATCGATCGGGGTGTGCCCTATCCCCCCAGGCCTTACACAAAGAAGGAGACCCCCCTCGATGTGCTCTATGGGCTGCCCGGGTGTTTCGTATCTTGTGCGCCTCGTCTTTAATCACCGACCGGGGGATGTACAATTTCGACGCTTCGGTTCCGAGGAGACCAAAGAGAGAGCTGGTTTCGAGGGATCGAAAACTAAGTCCGTGTTACAAAGCGTGAAGTTGAGTTGGCACTGGTCTTTGAGTTGACACAGAGGTGCGCAAGAAGAGAAGAATGAAACGATGTTGAAGACGAACGCAGCTTGGCGCCAACCGATCTCAGACACTCGGCTAATCGAGTATCCTCGCACCCTCGCCCGTGTCCTCCTGTCGAGCGCGTGTCCTCCTGTCGAGCGAGGCACTGATTGGCTGAGGTCAACATTCCAGCCCGTGCCCAAAAAAACGAGAGAAGGCGTGACGAAGGCGTGACGAATGTGTTCTCTCGGTGCGCTGCGTCTACGCCTCCTTCCCCTAAGCCCAGGCGACAGAGGAGTTGTTCAGAGCACCTCACCTGGAGAACATAGCTGGCCCAAAGGGGAATGTTTGCTCTCACATCGTTTGATCGGTGTGGCACTCATGTGGTTCCACAAGCGCATGAGCAGCCCTCTGCACAAACCCACCCGAACAAGGCTTCCTCTCCCGCTGTAGCGTCGGAATTCCGGCAGATCGAGGACGAGCTGTCATACCTCCCTCTCCCCCTTTCTTTGGTGAGTCGTGCTGTGCCATGCAAACGTATGGAAGTGTCGGGGTTGCAAAAGAGACACAGCGATCGGATTGTCATGTGACCAGACCCACCCTGGAACCCTGACCCACCGTGGAACGGGGAACCCTGTGCTGGTTTTGCTACCTTGTTGCGGCGCTGCGGAACGCGAAAGAAAGCGACTCTTTGCAGCACATACATACACATACGTAGCCCCTGTTGAAGTTGGAATTTTGGTTGCCCGTATTATTTCAGGGATATTTGCTGTTTAACACGCTTTTATTGAATCACCGGGTTGGAAGAAGGGGCGGGTAGCGCCCACTGCACATGTTCGCCTATGGGAACTTGGGAAAAGGTTTCAGAGGGGTCAATTTGGTTTCATCCCCTCCGCAGATTGATTGGACATGGGCTACAGCAGTAGTCCAGTTCTTTTGCCGTGCTCCTCACGCAGACCTTGACGTGCCATCAAAGCAGACGGGCGCCTCAAGCAAGTCATGCCCTCCATGGGAAAGCTACTTTTTACCGTTTGATCTTACTTTGGGCTGAAGAGATGCTTCACGATCCCATCTGAATTGAAGCTGTTTTTCGATGCTGCACGCAACTTTTTCAGATCTTGGGAAGCAACTTTCATCCAATTTGACCAGCTGCTACGGTCTTCTAATTCGACCGATACATTTCGCCTTAGCGGAGATAAAATACCATAGAACGGATGAATGCCGTACATGATTTGGGATTTCCACTATAGCGATCACAGTTGACCTGCGAAAGTCGGTAAACTCGGGTGGTCCGCAGCGCGGTAGAATGGGGGCTGTTGGATGTACTCACAGCATTGACATAGCAGAGAACTTTTCCCAGACGATGGAGCGCGGAGAATTCGGGGGTTCAGCAAATGATATCGATTGGGCTTGGTGTTACCAACTTTGCCGCCTACCGCCTATTATGGAATTCTGGATGTAGGGTGTGTGTGTGCCTACAAGGAGTTGGTTGTTGTGCGTTGTGGACCCACGTGCCCAGTCGTCTTGTCCCGTCGTCTTTTCCAATCAGGGCTTTTCCCCGGCTATCACGCCATCGCAAAGCTATCACACCACCAGCGTCATCATATCAGAGCTACCACGCTCCGGTACATCGCAGATGCGGGCTATCACGCCCGCGGGCAGTTTTCTGTATTTTATCGTTGCCGGTAATCTCGCCGCGCGGTTCTTTTATTTTTGCCGTCTACAACTGCGCCGGGCGCACCAAGCCATCCAAGACGGCCCCCCAACACGATCATGAGTCTACCTCCAACATTGTTATGACAATCCAAGCCATAGAGGCACGCAATGGACCTACACGCCGTTTGGCCGGGAAATAAATGTGGTGAACCAAACCTGATACAAACGAGTGTGTGTGCGTCTTGATGTGTGCGCAACGTACAATACAGAGGACGTGCACGTTCTGGGATCGGCACTACTGTACACAGCGAGAGTTACAGTAGTTGTAGCAGAATAAGTAAAAGTCTCTCACGGAAAAACTGCTTCGCGATGCGATTCCAGGATTTGTAATGTCTGCATAAAAAAAGTAGGAGTTTTCCAATAGGCGCGAACACGTGTACCATGTGCAGGCCAGCTGACGTGGGGGGGGCTCCGTAAGTCTTCCTCTGGTCGCACTACACATGCATACCTATGTGCGGGACACCATCTCGTCCACAGATTCGACTACAGCCGCAATCACACGAACAGCTATCGGAGTAGCGAAAGGGATATATATATATATATTGTTTTGTGGCCTACCCTTCACCTGGGAAACAGCAACACTAGACATTGTCATGCGTGCATGCTTTGATCGACATGTTCAATATCCCTCGAACCGCCGCAACAACTGCCGCATGATCAGCTCCAAAGACGGCAGTCGAAGCCGTAGAGGCGGCCGAAGTAGGCTTGGAATCAGAAAATTTCCCGCCGGTCGTGAGGTATGCCCTTGACCGATTAGTTTGTGTTGCCAGACCTTTTTATGTACCTTCGGGCAAATCTATTTTGTCCACCGTCTGCGGTTAGGTCGCAGGGGTCAACCAAACGGCAGCGCAATGATTGGAGGTGCCGTAATTTTTATCAACATTCATTAACTCCTCGGCCAAGCCTCTACATACGATAGTGGTAAGCAGTGAGTGCTGTCATTTGGCGTCCGTCCGTCTTCTCGGTTGGGGAGGTTGTCGTGTGACGTTGTCACATCCTGTTGCTGGCATTCAGCCCTCCTTGTACGCTTTGCTTTGGTGGCGGCCGCGCGCTCGATCGTAATATAGGAAATCGTTTTATGGAAGAACATCGCCGCCGCCCACATGCCTTGACCCACGCCCCGGTCCTGTTTCTCTACTCTGACCTTGGTATGTGTAGGCACCAATAATGGCCATCGAGATCCTCGACAAGTCCCTTCGGGCTGAGAGCGCACAACAAGATAAAGCACGGCACTCGAAACCCAATGCCAAACATGCTGCAGCATCTATGCCTGCCTGCCGCTGTTGTTCCATCACGGGCTGGTGCTGAAGCTGAAGGTTCTGGCATCATCAGCAGCACCAATCGCACCAGCCGTCGAGATGCCCGAGGAGGAAGGTGGGTGCACATACCAACTAAATACGTGATCGACGGTGTTCATCACGTGGCCAGCAATTTCCCGAAACGTACCCCGGCCATGCCTCGGTTGCGTCAGGTTGGTGCTCAAATGTGTCAAGGGTGGCACCGACGAGTATGTATGTATGTCGTGGACATATCAAGTCGTGCTCCACCTGATTATTTGAATGACAGAGCTGCGGTGGCTGCTGAACGCCCCAGAGGGTTCGGGAATACACAGAAGAAAACAACCTGCAAGGTCACTTAACGCAAAATTTCGCGGCGTGGGCAGCTTCCACGTGTTCTCAGGAACCCGTGGTACCGGGTCTCTTGTCCGGCATTGCGCCGATGGTTTGACCCCACAGCAGTCGCGCGTGATTAATGCGCTACACGCAATTTCCGAACCACCTCGTGCGTACAGCAACTAAGGTTCAGAGGTGATACGATCGGCCTACGAGAGTGGGGTAGCGACCAGCGGACCAGATTGAGGAGTAGCTACCGCAACGTTGCGTACCAAGTCCAACCCCACCCATCTAATGTGAGGAAACTGATTATATATCTCTGACGCGATTCATCGTGGGAAGTATGTACCCTTCTGGGCGCTCCCCCCAAAAAGTAGTAGTCCGTGATCAACCTCAATCCGCGCCTCGACGCACACCTGTAGATACCAAGGAACGGGAGTCTACCAGTCCAAAGAATCAGCCACAAAGCGTGCCCATTGATCGCTCCAACCCGCAAGTGTATGGCACCCATTTGAAGGTGGGAGAAGGGTGGGCTTGCGTCCACCGCCGAGTTGTACTGGTTCTTTGTCACCAATTCTGCAGTTTCGCACCTGATTTTCCTCTGAATCACGTGAGCTACGCAATCGGGTGGGTTGAAGGACCTGCTGACTGCACCTGAAGAAGCTCTTCTGCTTTTTCGTGTGACAATAGCGTCACGCGTGCCCGTGGATTACTCAAGAATTCGAAAATTGGACGAATACCAAGCACAATTTGCGCGTAGCGTGATATAGACTATATCTGAGAAGAACTCCCCCCTCTGGTTGTTGGCGGTGGTACTCTTTGTTCTGATGTACGAGCGACTTCCGGCCGTGATTGAAGATGAAGGTTTTTCCCCATTTTCCTGGAAACAATGCTATTCATTTGGAAAGATGTGTGCTTCAGTTTGGATTTTTTTGTCGACTCATGCTACGTGTCTACATAGGTCGGTTTTCAACGCCACCCATTCATTGCAATCACCAACTTTTACTGAGGTGTTGACCAACAATCACTGAGGTGCAGGGCGCATTGACATGTGTCCCGGTATTGTACAAGCCAAGCTCAAGTTTCACGAAGTGAACGTAGACAATTCAACCAAATTTAGCCCAAACTGCTAGAGGCTCCCTCTCGGCCAAGAAGAAAAAGGACAACAAAATCTGCACTGTCTACGGTACAATATACGATTGCTGCGTAGATGAACTACTGTGCATCTTGGGCACACAATTGAGGGAGTAGAGACCCTTCAATGACGGTGAGTCGACCCACTGAACGGTGGAAGTCCGCTGAGACACGAACGCTAAAACCTGTGACAGTGCTATGAGCTCACTTTCCGTAGTACCCCCCTTCGTCGGTACGGTTCACGTTCGTCACGTAGTGGTATAGGGGGAGGATGTGGCTGTCGATGTCCGCGCCGTCTGCCCAGGCGAAGCCGTGGCTGTGACAAAAAACTACAGTATGACACCCACTAAGCGGCAATCAAGGAAAAAGCTCGCATCCAAATAAAAAACTGATCCTTGTCGCCCCTACCCCAGACTACACGGGAGTCCGATTCCCAACACGGTGCGAATCAATTGCTGGTGGGCATCATCTGAACTTGGCGAGCGAACAGTGCAAGACCTGGCCACCAACAAGTCGTGACGTCAACCCTCCCCTGTTGAAGTGTTCATACTACAAATGCTGCTTTACTTTTTCAAAATGAATACATACGGAACTGCCTTTCACTCTCGGGCCCGCTCGTGTACCCTTTTGCGTCACATGCAGTTTGGGGCGAAAAAATAGCACATACTAGCGCTGTACGTAAAGAGGAAGCGAATTAATCCACAACCTTGGGGAGGGGACTAATGTAAAAATGGAAACTTGCGCCTCGAGGTTCTCGCAATGGGAGCCCTGGAGCTCCTACTCCGATCGGCAGCTAGGGTAGTAGTGCCTGTCGTTGTGATCGCAAAAACCATCAACCCCCGCCATATCTATCTCGTGGTTAAGCCAAAGAGCAGGCCAAGGCCATGCCGGTGTCAAAATCAAGCCTCCGCGTTGTCGCACTCACCGACGAGGTTGCTGAGCTCACCGATGGGGTACTCCTCTTCGTAACGGGTGCGAAGGTTGTTGGTGGTGCACGCCGTGAACTTGCCCTCTCGGCCCGGCTCGTTGTCGTACGTCGTGCAGTCGGCCTCGGAAACCTGCGGCACTTCTTCGATGCAGCCGCACATGGGCGCACCCTCGATGCCGAACGGTAGGGCAACACAAACAACGGGAGAAAAGGACAAGAACGTTTGGCGTTGTCGCATATTCTTGCGTTTCACATAAAAACGCCGTCCCAGTCTATGCTCAATACCTTGCAAAATCCGCACGGGCCCCACCGGCGTGGACGTCTTTCTTGGTCACAGACCGACTTCCCAAGAAAGGGTGCACACGCCAAAAAATCATAGCAATGGAAAACAAACCAGAAGAATAACCACAAACGCAACCACAAAAGACAGCAACAATAAACATATAGGCCCCGGCCAGACAATGTCACTGCCTGTGAAGTATCTGGAAAAGGATATGTGTGAGGGTAGAAAAGAGAAAAGGGAGTTGTGTGCGAGGCGAAACGAAAAAGTTGAGCAACCCCATGCCAAACCCAGGGAACGAGAATGGGCAGAACCCTAGACACGCAAACCAAACCAGGGAGACAACTCACTTTCCGAAGTAGCCCCGCCTGTCCCTGTGGTCGAAGTGCTGCACGAACTGCGCCTGGAGGTGGATGTACTTGTCGGCGGCGTCCTCCGGCCACGCGAACCTGTGGCAGTGCACCTCGGGAAGAATGACGTGAGTGAAGTGTCGCCTTTTCTTCCATTTCCCTACGCCTTCAACGAATGTGCTACAGGGTACGGACAACGACTAAGCAACATCACGGTATCACAGGTGATCTCGGGACACCAACCCACCAGTACACAGGGCCTTCATCGTCGCGGGGCAGTTCGAGGACGTCGCCCTCCTCGGGGTAGTCCAGCACGCGGCAGACATCGGTGTTGCCGTACATGCCCTCGGACCCGTCGTGGCCGGTCCAGCAGCACATGTAGGTGTTCCATTCGCAAGTCTCGGGGAGGACATTGGCCACATCCACCTGAGGTTTTGGTTTTGAAAAGGAAGGAAAGGTTGGAATCGTTGGTTGTGGCAATGGAGAACGTGGACTCGGTCATTCTCTTGTGAAGCGACAGGATTGGCGTGCTGATGTCTTCCAAAACACGCCAAAGTGAGTCCGCAGCGCGAGGGAAGGAAGGTTGGGCGCATCGACAGATATAATCAACTCGTATGCATCACATGCCCCGCGTCCAGACGTTCTAACGTCTCTCGTCGTATGTGGAGCAGGACATCCCATCCTCCGGGTTCTCCATCGGCGTCGATTCCTCATCGACCCATCGTCCGACATCGGCATCTTCTCCATGTCTCCATCCTCCGTCGTCTCGACGTAGTACTCCGTAGGCCCGGACGTGGTTTGAATGTCGGGTGTGGGCGCCGGGGTGCCCATGGCCGGCTCCGGAGTCACCTCCGCCTCGTAGGATTCACTCAAGTTCGGGTAGATTTCGGTGGTAGGGGCCGGGGTCGTGGCAGGCGAGTTGTAGTCGTAGTTGGGGCCGACGTTGGCAGTCTGCTCAACAACTTCTTCAGGATCGTGTCTGGGTAGTTGGGTGGGGACGGGGAAGAGCTTTCATTAGAAAAACGATTGAAACAACGAATGAATGAATGAATGTTTGCAACGGTGTCGGCAAGCGTTTCTGTGCTCGCCGTTGGAAAGGCATACAAAAGTGCACGCGCGGATGCAGCCTGGGAAGGTGTGCGCATGGGACAGCAGTGCTTCCTTTATGTAGACACGCTTGCTCGCATGTACACGGATGGACGCGTTTCGTGAAACGACGCAGACGGCCTCGGTGCACGGCGGCGCAGCTTCCATCGTTTGTGATGGCTCTCGGACACACGAGGTTACGTGCTCTTACATGCATACGCTTTTCCATGACGGTCGCTCACCTTTTAACACACTCAGTTTCGAAACCAATCCGAAATCAGGCATCAGAATGATGATGTCATGGACTACTCTACCCGGTTTTCTAGGATAATAAGAAGCCCTGTTTCTTGGGAAAGTAAGAACACGAAGAACAATAGGCCACGCAGGTAACCCACACTGCTGGGTGTTGCTGTTGTACGTATGCATGCAGGCATTCGGACGTCACGGTGTGAGCTACCCATCTCAGACGTTGTACATACGGTCCGCTGTTGTCGTTGGCCTTTTCTTGCGAAATGGAGTATGGATGCCATTTGATTGACTTCAACTACCCGTTCGAAGGTGATGTGTTGCAAGCCTTTACAGTGAATGTTTCTTCCACATGGGGGATGGCGGAGAATCCTTATCTCAAATGAACCGAACAATGATATCGCGCGATTTGCGCGAACCACCGTCCCCGAAAAAAAACACTCGAATGAACAAAAAATATTGACTGCGCTTCGGGATGGCCATTCATTCCCCGTTGGATCTTTCAATTGTTCAGTTGTTTTTGCGAACAGCATGTGGTGTAACTGGTTCGTACATTGCATGTTACATTATGGATGCTCCGTTGGATGCGAACACCATCATCCTCGTTTCAAAAAGACGATGAAGTTACCCGCGTCGAGGGTTTTCGATGTATGCGGACGACCGCCCGCCACTGCAATGAATTCGTCATGATCTACCCAAGCCCGCCCAACGAGGGCGACATCGATCAAGAGGTGGATGAGCGGTTTGTCTTCAACAGAACTCCATCAGCTGGTGAAAGGTAATAGTAGCCTGCGCTGTCGAATCTCTCTTGACCAAGCTTCCTTGCGTTTCAACAACATCAACATACGTCTAACAGATCACCTGTGAAGGAGTCTGATACCACACGCCATCCACAACAAACCCGAAATGCAGGAACAACACGGCTGCACCGCGCCGGCTCACTACCACAGCCCAACACAAAAGGGCATCTTGTTAGCCCCTAATCAGTCCACAATCGATCGCGAAACTCTATCGAAGGTAGACCAGCGGGCCCGAGAGTAAAAAATCACCAATAATATCGCCCAAGCAGTTGTTCCATAGCCAATAAACAAAAGCAGCAAATAACTGCAACAAGAGGAAAGCCTTCAATGACGGTTGGAGCAGCGTCCAGCACACATTACACATGCGTGATGGAACGACACTAAAGAGCTTCAAAAACCAATCCAACAAATGCACCCCGTGACGGGAATCAAAGACGGGCTTGGCATCTCCAAACCTGATCCCCACCCCAACCCCGGGAGTCCGGTTTGTAACACGGTGCGATCGACGCGTAATGCCGATCAACTAAACTTCACGAGCAAACTATCACGATTTGGTCGCCAACACATCGAGCGTGCCTACACATAAAATACTTGGCGTCAAGAAGCAATTGGAGCCTAAATGTATATCATAGTATACGTGCACACGGTGAAACGAACGGTACCACCTGGGGAAGGGACTGGTGTAAAAATGAATAGTTGTACCTCAAGGTTCCCGCAAAAAAGAGTCCCCCGTCATCTACGTGCCGTACAGCAAAAAAGGAAGGGTCGTCTGTCGATGAGATAAAAAAAAGCGAAAACGGAGTCGGCCAGGACCATGCCGGCTCAACATCAAGCCTCCTCGTTGTCGCACTCTCCGACAAGGTTGTCAAGCTCGCCCATAGGGTACTCCTCTTCGTAACGGGTGCGAAGGTCGTTTTTGGTGCACGCCGTGAACTTGCCCTCTCGGCCCGGCTCGTTGTCGTACGTCGTGCAGTCGGCCTCGGAAACCTGTGGCATTTCCTCGATGCAGCCGCACATGGGCGCACCCTCGATGCTGAACGGCAGGGGGAATCGGTGAACGGGGAAAAGGAACCGGGGTGCTCACGCAAGTGAGGATAGAAAAGAGAAAAATGAGTGCCATGCAACATTGAACAAAAGGTCGGGAACAAACATGAAAGCAAAAGGGAGCCAGGATAGGTACTCAAGCCAGACTCACTTTCCGAAGTAGCCCCGCCTGTCCCTGTGGTCGAAGTGCTGCACGAACTGCGCCAGGAGGTGGATGTACTTGTCGGTGGCGTCCTCCGGCCACACAAACCCGTGGCAGTGCACCTCTCCCTCGCTCTCTCCGGGGTACTCGGTGGTCTCGCCCATCGACGGGTAGTCGATCACTCGACACACATCCTGCATCGTTGGGGTAAATAATAGAACCACAGAAGGTCGAGGGTTGTTAACGGTGACCTGACGCAAACAGCGTTCAACACGTGCATGACCGTTTTTTCTAGCCATGACAGGTGTTTCGCGGTATAGCCTTAGCGACAGCAACCATATAAGCGCGTTCGAAAGAACACAGAGCTTGCGACGACCAACATAATTTGTTTGCACAGAAACAAGGACCAGTCTCGAAATGAGGCATCGCTCTCCAGCATGTTGATTGAAGAGGCAGGGTCAACACTGCATCTCACCGTGTTGTCGGCCATCCCCTGACCGTCGTTCTCCGTCCAACAGCACATGTACGTGTTGTGGTTGCAGGTGCGGAAGTCGTAGTCGGGCACGTCCTCGTTGTCGCACTCTCTGACGAGATTGTATTCCAACTCGCCCTTCGGCTCGTCCAGCCTGTTCTTGTAGTGGGAACGAAGACTGTTGGCCCCGCACGGCTCGATACCTTCGCGTCCGAACCTGAGTTGTCGGGGGGTTCAGATGTGGATTGAAGCGGGAGGGGGGAGGGCACAAGCAACTTTGATCATACGCTCATGTGGCGTTTTTAGACAACAAAGGTCTGTGCAATGTTGCTAGAAAGAAAAACGAAACTGATGACACCAACATCTACCTCTCTCTGTAGTCTGAACCCATCAAGTTACAACAATGCGACATACGAAAGGCAGGAACACAAACACAGCGGCCCATGCAGGCACGGTCCTTCCTCTGGGTTGCTTCACGAGCACGCGTTCGAATACGAAAATGAAATCAAGGTCAACGAGAAGCGTCTCGAAACTCGAAACACACCACAGGTGCACCGTGGTGGCGAAGATGCTCGAGGTCGGGTCGTTCGACTTTCTATCCAGGAGTCGCCGAACGAAACGGGTGGAAAGAGGTGCAAAACTAAGAAACTCACCTCGAGCACGCCGCGTCGGACACGACCGGCATGTCCTCGATACATCCACACGAAGGCACTCCCTCGACGCTGCAAGTGCCAGAACAGGTGGGGGGTGAAGATGGTTTGGTGGTCGTTGGGACGGGACGGGCAACCTCGAGTAGACGCGCAAGTCGACGTTGCAAGACTTCGAGGCGGTTAACGCGGTCAGAGAAACGAAGGAGATTGGCATCCGTGAGACAAGGGGGCCGAGTATTATTGCCACTCCAAACAACCGGCGTCGTCGAACAATCTGTCGACCAGAAGGTTCTCACTGCTGGAAAAATGCAACAATAGTACGCACACTGCACAGGAGTCATCTCTCCGCTTAGGAGGCCCCAGGTGTTTTGCCAAATATACCAATGTATGTACCAGATGATGCGTTGTTTCGTGTGGCGTTCATACCGTTACCGCTGCGAGACGAACGCGAAAACCTATGCTAGTGCTATGAGCTCACTTTCCGTAGTACCCCCCGTCGTCGGTGCGGTTCACGTTCGTCACGTAGTGGTACAGCGGGAGGATGTGGCTGTCGATGTCCGCGCCGTCCGCCCAGGCGAAGCCGTGGCTGTGATTGATCGGATACAATTACATGCGCACGAGAGGGTTGGCGGGCGGGCGAAAGGTCGGGAAGAACGACGTTAATGAGGTGCCGCCATTGCCACGTCGTGGTCGGCTTGCGGTCGGCACCATTAGATACCTGAGCCCCGATCAAGCTTCGGTGTCTTAGTCAACAGTCACGACCAAATAGTTCGATGTTCCTACGCCTTCAACGAATGCGCTGCAGGGCACGGACAACGACTAAGCAACATGCTATCTCAGGTGATCTCGGGACACCAACTCACCAGTACACAGGGCCTTCATCGTCGCGGGGCAGTTCGAGGACGTCGCCCTCCTCAGGGTAGTCCAGCACGCGGCAGACATCGGTGTTGCCGTACATGCCCCCGGACCCGTCGTGGCCGGTCCAGCAGCACATGTAGGTGTTCCATTCGCAAGTCTCGGGGAGGATATTGGCCACATCCACCTGAGGGTTTAGGTTTTGAAAAAGAAGGAAAGGTTCCAATCGTTGGTTGAGGCTGTCGAAATCGTGGGCGTGGTCATTCGTATGTGAAGCGACAGGATTGGCGTGTTGACGTCTTCAAAACTAGAAAAAAACACGTGAGAGTGAGTCCGCAGCGTGAGGAAAGCAAGCTTGAGCTGCCCCGTGTCCACAAGGGTCTTACATCCTCGTCGTATGTGGAGCAGGACATCCCGTCCTCCGGGTTCTCCATCGGGATCGGTTCCTCTTCTTCCTCTTCCTCTTTCTCCGACCCACCGTCCGACATCGGCATCTTCTCCATGTCTCCGTCCTCCGTCGTCTCGACGTAGTACTCCGTAGGCCCTGACGTGGTCTCCATGTCGGGTGAGGGCGCCGGGGTGTCCACGACCGGCTCCGGAGTCACCTCCGCCTCGTAGTATTCGCCCAAGTCGGGGTAGATCTCGGTGGTCGGCGACGGGGTCGTGGCAGGCGAGTTGTAGTCGTCATTGGGGCCGGCCTTGGCAGCCAGAGCGAGCAGCAGCGGCCCGGCACACATCGAGAGGACCGACTTGTTCATCTCGGAATGTCTGTGTTAGTCGGGTGGGAGCAGTTAGAAACACAGAAATATATGCGAGCGCCGTGGATGCAGCCTGGGAAGGTGCGCATGGGACAGCAGCGCTTCCTTAACGTAGACACGCTCCCTCGTAAGTACACGGATGGACGCGTTTCGTGAAACCACAGCCGACGGCCTCGGTGCATGGTGGCCCAGCTTGGGTCGTTCGTATCGGCTCTTAGACATACGAGGAACTGTACTCTTGCAGTAGTGTTATGTCGTAGTCTATGCATACGCTTCCCGTGACGATTGCTCGACTTCCAACACACTGTTTCTTGAAAGCAATCCGAAATCAAGCATCAGGATGATGATGTTTGTTGTAGTCAAGTCTGAATTCCGTGGCTTGGGCTGGCCCGTAAGGACTATTTTTGTCCGATCCTTTATTTCGAGCTCTTGAACACTTTCAGATACTATTGTGCAACACAGAAGCGTTGTTCCCCAAAGTGTTGCTGCGCCGAACAATGTGCCAGTTTTGTGGTATTTCTTGTGGGGCGTATCACGCGTGAGGACTGCCCGACAGGTAGTTGTGCTTTCTATAATAGCACTTCTAACGAAACGTGTTCCGAACAAGAGACAGAAACAGAAACCGGAACATTATTGCACAAGGTATCACAGGGACAGTGGAGATGAGTCAAAAAATCTTCCCAGTCTCCCCGCTGTATGTACACGATACACTACGCTGTTGGGTTTGTCACATGTGCCGCATGACCGGATGAACCTGAACGTGACATACTCAACAGCGTAGAGTGACGATCTCTATGGCGCCTTGAGCGGGGTAGCTACATAAACCAATCCTGTCATGTAGTGAGACCCATCGAGATGCCGCACGCACGAACTACACAGCAGTACATACGAGTTTTAGGCACGTAGTGCGTGCGCACCGATGTCGGAGGGGCGCGACCTTTCTTGCTAATCGGGATTATGCTCACCGATTTCTCTTGCCTTCCCGAACTGGAGGGACTGCTGTGGCCCTGTAGAGGTGATGATGTAGAAGAGACAAGTGAATGAATGAACGCATGGGTGGGTGTTGGTGTGGAGTTGATTGTCAGCAAGCTGCGTGGAATACGGCCGTTTCCCTTGGATCTAAGATCCAACAAAGATCGGTTGGGCTTCTGGAATACAGGAAGATTCAGATTTCAATTACATCTCGGCGCATAAATACGCGTACACGACTGCTGTCCAACACGACAGCACACAATGACGCCAATGCTCTCTTCACAAGAATGCACCGTTACTCACTCGGTGCCCAGTGGTACGCCCATCAGATCCGCCAGATACAAACACTTCAACAGTCACTTTTTTCGAAATAGCATACTTTCGAATAGTTCAGACAAGCGGTTCCCAGACAATAGGACATACCTTTATTTTGTTTTCTTTCGAATTGCTTCATTATTTCTTCGGTTTCTAGGCTACGTGTTGGGGAGAGAGACGCACGAAACGCTCATCGTCTCTCCGGCCGCGTTAGCTGCAAAGGCCGGCGTCAACTCTTACAAATCCATCTCTCTCCCCACAAATACTAGCCGGGGGACTACGACTGCAAACGCAGGAGTCCCAAAACTGACCAAGTCCTCAAATGGTACACACCATTCTACAACACCTGACTAGATACCGAATATTCCCGAACTTATGCCCCCACCTTCGAAAGAAAAGGGATGGGAGGGCGGGATTTTCTAAACTGCCGCCGCTACTGCGTTAGGCGGCTGCTGCTGTCCTTCCGTTGCTTCACGCGCTCTGTAGCTGTCACACGTTACCCGACTTTGCTACAGCCCCTGCGTGGACTCGATCACGGAATGACACCCCCAACTATAGACTAATAATTCCAAACACCGTGACCCTGGGTTTCCGGTAGAAAATGAAGCCAAATTCTAATTCGACTGTTACAAAATAAACACCAGTTTATTCTATCTGCTTCGACGAACAAACCTTCCTTTTATTTTGTTTTCTTTCGAATTGCTTCATTATTTCTTCGGTTTCTAGGCTACGTGTTGGGGAGAGAGACGCACGAAACGCTCATCGTCTCTCCGGCCGCGTTAGCTGCAAAGGCCGGCGTCAACTCTTACAAATCCATCTCTCTCCCCACAAATACTAGCCGGGGGACTACGACTGCAAACGCAGGAGTCCCAAAACTGACCAAGTCCTCAAATGGTACACACCATTCTACAACACCCACATCGAGGTCAGTTTCTGGACGACTACCGAATAAGTCAACTATCCGTTCCCCCAGACGGTCCCCTCCCCCGGCTGTCTCGATACGATCCTACTGCCGTCTGTAAGTTTCCGTGACACTCGCCGCGAATCCTCTACATTGTTTCGCGCGTACGGCTTGTATGCATCCGACCTCCACTTCCCTTCTCTCTGAATCACTCGTTCTGCGATGTCTCCGCCCGATGCAAGAGCCGTCGCGCCTCCAATTCGCAACGAGTGCAACGCGTACTCCTGGGGGTTACGCCCCGACCTCGCTACCACTTCTCTGAGTGCACGGAGGGCAGCAGTATACCTCACTACTCTCACTGCTCTTCCACTACGGTACGAAGCCAACGGTGCGGAGTCAGGGAAACGTCGCATGACACGATAACAGCTCCACCACAAGAGCCACCGCGCCACCGCGTGCTCTCACACCTGACTGCGGTCCGGTGACTTCGTCTCGCGTACGAACCCGTATGTTTCCTTTCTGCTCTTGATCGGCCTTGTGCCCTCTAAACCTCATTTCGACACGGTCTGCTCTACGATAGTGACTAAAGACTAATTGCGTCTCGCCAGCAAACAATGCTACGTCCGCCCTCGTAAGACAGTGTGCCTCATGCACCCTGCCCGCATCATTCGCGAACACCTCATCAGACCGTGTGATAAAGAGATAGGACAAGCACAGACACAGCCACATCACTCTGCCCCCTTCCCCCCAGTTCTGGCTTGCGCTTTCCCCGTCCAGCAGCATACGCCAAGACACAGGCAGGCGCACACGGCGTACCGTCCCCACAGCCACGTGGTTCCTCGCAATCCCCCTTAGCGCACATTTCAACATCGGAGACGACAAGTCTAGCTCGACAGAAGCTTCCAGCCTATGAAAATGTTGTACAGCCGTGAGTTTTCCGGATATTGTACTCGCTAGATTACCCTCAGACTCGAAACACCAGGCTACGAAGTCTATCAACTCCCACACATGAAGGTCCCCGGCACGTTGCCCTAGGAACTTGGGCTTCTCCGTCAGCCTGCGAAACGTGCACCAAGAGTTGAAGCCTGACGTGTAAGTCCTTCTAGACGAAGACGCAACTGAGTGCTCGACGAGCTGCATGCCAAGACGTCGGTAACAAAGTCCCGTCCTGCCTGTCCCAGGTCCTGAACCTGCTGATAGCCCTGGAGCCAACCTCGTGTAGACCGGCGTGCTGCCGTTCGATTTAGCCGCAGGTGCGCTGCCATCCGAGGTAGGCCCCCCCGCTACGCGGGAGAGCCCGCACCCCTATTTGTCTTTCCCGTGGGTGAAGAAGCCATCGGCCTTGGGTCTCGCGCCGCCCTCGCCAGCGGCGCGCGCCTCTCCTCCGCGCCCTCCCCCGTTGCCGTGGCCAACGCCGCGCGCGCCGGTTGCCGGAGTTTCGGACGCTCCGCGCCTAGCGTGGGAAGGGTTCTGGGCGTGGATGTGTGGGCAGTTACGATCATGGCAACCGGACGACGAGTTGAAGGCGAAGCAGTAACCACGAGCGTGTCGAGCGATGCCGCCACTTTCTCTGTCACCAGGACGCCTTTGCGAAGCAAGGATTGCCACTCCATCTGCGACAGTTTTGAAACTGCCGGGGGCCGCCCCAGGATGAGCCACGCTTTTACCCGGCGGAGGTCCCCCCACATCCGCGCTCTATCCTTTGCCGTAGCCTTAGCCGCCTCGGCGCTGGGTGTAGCGGGGGCCCGAGAGGCCGATGGTGGGGCGGTTGTGCCCACAAGTTGCACCCCCCCCCGGAAGGCCAGGTCCTGCTGCTTGGGTGGCGATCAGGTCGTCGATCGTTGCTTGAAGCTGCTGGCGATCACCGGCAGCCTCATCGCGCTTCCGCTGCAGCTCCTCCCTCAGGCCGTCCACCAGCCCGCGGAGAGAAGCGAGCTCAGTCTCATCAGCGGGGGGGTCGCCGCGGGTGCCTGTCCCTGGCGCTCGCGAGGAGGATACCGCTCGACGCCTCGCGGGAGTACGTGATCCGCTGCGCGTCGAGGGGCGAGCCGTCGAGCTCGCCACCGATCGCGCGGTAGACCTCTCGTGCGTGGTGTCGAAGGTGTCGCCGCCCGACCTCGCCCTGCTTGCCCAGCCGCTGCCCTGCCGCTCCGCGTGGAGGCCCGTGTCGGCATCTGGTCGCGGTTGGAGTCGTATAAGCAGCGGACCGGCGGCAGGCGGCGGGCGAGCGTCAGGGCGGCGTTGCGGGAACACTTCTTTTCCTCTTCATCGTGGGCGTAGTCGATCGCGCGCCTGGATCTGCAGTTAGAATGGTCTACAAATCCTATCTTCGGGCGAAACTATCTGACGTGGGTTTTCGTCGGGCCCAGAACGACGCGTTGTTATATCGCGAGCTCGCGTTAGTTCATTCTCGACGCCTGTGGATTGAATGGAGTGATTATTGCTGCTGACGCTACGGTCACCGGACGTCGACCAATCCCGAATATTTCTCTCTTTGGAACACTAGCGATGGTTTCTCTTTTTTTTTTTTTTTATATATATATTTTCTTGGATTCGGTGAACCCCGGTTCGCCATCGGCACGGGTGCTTCCACTCATTGGCGCGTCCCGTGCTGATACGTGTTTTTTTTTTTTTTCGATGCGTTGGATACGGTGAACTCCACTTGCCAACAGCGCGGGTGCTTCCACTCATTGGCGCGTCCCTCGCTGAAACTGACAACACATATGCAGCACGGGTGCTTCCACTCATTGGCGCGACCCGCACTGATGATACTTGTACGCAGCGCGGGTGCTTCCACTCATTGGCGCGTCCC